AAAATTGAGATGTAAGTTGATGGGCGCGTCAGGATGGCTGGGTGGGCCACTAGGTGGTGTGGGCCACTAGGTGGTGGATTACGTTATTGCTATTGTTATTTCGCATTTGAGAATAGTTTCATTGATGCCTTGACAAGGCCAAGGACTTTTAGTCACCATGTCTATCTTCTAGTCTACAAAAGCAACTCGAACACCGCACCAAGCAGCACCATTGATAACAACTCGTATATCGAGGTCGCAGCTTTGATGCACGTTTGGACATCACCCGGAAACAGGTGAAGAGTCGCTCTCCTCTTCATACAAGAAATCCGGCCGTGAGATGTCTGATTAACCTCGTGGACGGCCGTCTACTCAGGAAGAGCGCTAATACCTACCCTCAAGCAGGGAGAACTAGTGACTTTAGTCGAAATCTTGGGAGCTGAGAGGCAAAAGCGACTGGTCATTGTCCCAGGGTGGAAGAAAGAGCGATTCTCGGTCCCAGAAGTTCCGTATGGATTCTCCCGAGGATGGTTCCTGATGCTTGTACTTTCGTCTTTCCATTAATTCGGTTACCATAGAGGCCATTCTCGCAGCTTTTGTCTCGGATGGGCCACCGATTTCGTATGCCAACCCCAAGATCATCAGCGGGGTGGTGTCTATGTGCCCCGGGACATAACCATAGACCTGTTCAGCAAACAGCCTCAACTCTGCTGGATTTCCAACGTCGGTCTCATCGATCGTCATCGCGATAGAATAGTCACATTCCGGGCTGCAAGCTGTGTCGAGCAGCTTTCGCCTCATCTTCAAGGACCACCATTCCGGCATCAGGCCTGGTACCTGCTCAGCGGTGTAAAGAAAGCGCTCGAAGGCACGCCTGCCCTGATCAACTGCCATGTTGTATATGCTATCTCCTTCGATATACCCGTCGATCATGTAAGTGTCATGTAGCCGGAACTGAAAAGCGAGGCTAAGAAGCTCGAAGGTTTCTTCTACTGAGCAACCATGCAGCCACTGATGTCTCAGGAGCATGTGGAATGGTTCACGGTCCTTCTCGTCGACGTCTTTCTCGTGGGAACCGGGAGGCGCGTTCTCTTTGTGACCCTGGCCGACAACTGGAGATACAGGCCCTCCACGTTGGAAATCTTTGGTCTCTTCGATGATTGCAAAGGTGCCTGTACAGCTTTTCTCGTGGCTTTTTCTGTATTTCTGCGCGCAATTCTTGCTGCAAGCGGTGGCTTGGCATCTATCGCAACGTCGGAATTTGCCTTCAAAGTTGAGGTCCGATCCCTTTTTTCCGCAACGGCGGCAGACGAGTGTTTTCTCTGTGGACATTGCGGATAAGTTGAAGTTGGTTGGCGCAAACGCTAAAGTTTAACGAGCGACAAATATCTCTTGATGTGAAATA